CAGGCATTTGCCAGCCACAAAACACAAACTTTGAGCCCTGAACCCTGAAACCATTTAGATCAAGTTACGGCGCCTCAAAGCAGGCAACTTCATTCAAACAAAACGCAAACGAAATCCTTGCAGTTAGGCAGCAATAAATTTTTGTCCATGTCTAAAGTTTAACTGGTGGACCAACAAGAAAAAATACAAGTAGAGTGCTCTAGTTGGGAGTGCTCGACGGGCAGATACTCTAAATACAGACACATATATATATCCCATTGACACATAGAATACATAATGCTATGTTAAATAAATTCGATGTTTATTGTCCGATCTAGAAATAAGAGTCAACTTTCAGGGCATAAATATGCAGCAGAGAAGGAGTAAAATTCTACCTCATAAAGTGTATATATTCTAGATCAGCATCAACACCCTGTTTCTATGAGAACTCTTCCTCTTAGGCTTAAAGCTATCGATATCTGTTTGTCTGTTGCAGGTGTTACATTTTGTCGAAGCCAGCCGGATGGGATAATTATATCATATAGGAATTGTCAGTCGAAGAGACGATTATTGTATAAAAAAAATGTTCTGTTTTTCAGTTTTACAAGCTTCGCTAGGCTCACATACCCACAAAACCGTCAATGAGGGTTTTAAATCTTTGGCGTATCGAGCATATGTTCACTTTTTTTGAGTATTTTTGATATAACTTTGGCAGGTGAAATATTTTGGATCAGTGTATTTGATACGAGCGTCAATATTGTTTATTGTCTTTAGCTCTTATAAGCTCCGGAAAATAGTCGAAACTACATTCAAAATTTCATGTCATAGAACTTATATACTTAAGCGGCCCAAAGAAGCTGCCTGCGGCCCGTTACATAGATTGGCACATAACAAATATACCCCTTTTAGGCAGTTACAATGGATTTAGGGCATTAAAAAAAAAAGAATCCCATTTTGTGTCTATCAGGACGTCTAATCTGCAGTCCGTGCAGCAACGCAAGCCCAACTGAATAACTGAACCCATCCAAGCAACTTACCACGTGCAATAAATTCCAAGGCGCAATGTCTGCACTATTTGTGGTTAGCCTCAAGACTTTGGCGTTGGGTCAAAGGTGGTTAAATTGTGCCAGAGATTGGGCCATGTGGCGAGGGGGGAGACGGAGCCATAGAGGGTTACAATCCCAGCTAAACACGCGCCGCGTACGTGATCTGATAGGGAATTAAAGCCGGCACAAACATGTGTAAGTTTGCCCAAATAGCGTCGCATTCGTTTGAGCCCAAGCCACACACACACACGCACACACACACAGCCAGAGCACACTTCCTGCACTCCTTGGCGGCTGTTTCCGTTGCGGTTTTAGCAGCACTGTCTGCACAGTTTGACAGGCGAGGTTCGCTGCGCTAATTTACTTTAAATTGGTTTTTACGGCATTCGCTGCTTATATCCGTGATAAATGACTGGAGGGCGTACTTTACCGCCCCCAAAGCACCCACATTCGCCCCCCCCCCCTCCCGCTTCCAAGACCGAAATGTCTTTGTTATCGCTAATGGCATCTGTAGCTAATTTTGTTGTTGTTGTTGTTGCTGTTGTTGTGTGTGACCCACGTAGTTTAATAAATTGGTAAATAAAAATTAATGCTGCATAAATTACAAATAGCCGAATCACAAAGTTGACGACGTCGCGCTCTTCACAAATTTCCCATTTTTGGCCACTTTTTGGCCATCTAATTAACGAGCAAAAGTTTTTAACCTTTTGTGCAAGTTTTCGTTGCGAGTCCGGCTTCAAGTTCCGGCCAAGAGGTATTGTCCACAGTATCGTGTGGCCACCATATTGACTGCTTATCGCCGCAACGCCATCTGAGTGGGCGTGGCATGTCAACTAATGAGAGTCGAAAAAAAGTTTGACTTTCTGCTTTGACTTATTCATTGTGGCATAATTAATGAAAGTAACGCTAGTCAAAGCGTTTGGCCGATTAATCAGCTAAAGCTATGGTGGCTATAAGCCGACCCATCCCCTCCCCCTCCTCGCACTCCATGAGCTTATTATTTGCCTGCAATGTGGTTAGCTGCAAAATCGCATGGACGTGGCTCACATTCAAATGGTTGCGATTCGGTAAATACTTTGGTCAACAAATATGCTTATACATTTGTTGGAAATCGAATGAGCTTTAAATAAACAACTAGCAAAAGTGGTGTCAATTGATTTACGCAGTGTCTAAAATGATTGATTGCGATAATTTTGCTTTCTTTCTATATTTCGCTTTATTCGTCTATTTTTTTTTCATCTTTCCCTTCCATCATTCTCCCACTCTCTCACTCTTTTTTTCTTTCTTCTTCTCACTTGTTGTTCTTTTCCACCTCTTTCCCCTCAAACTGATTACATCGCCTCTCTATGCGATTTTCATAATCTCAAGTAAGGCCAAGAGAATTTGGAATTTGAAAAAACTTGATAATATTACTGAATTATTCATTTTTTGCCGTTTTATCACGCCCTTTCAAACACTTTGAAACTTATATTTGAAGCTTCCCTACAACTGAATTTTGCGCAATTAAATTTGCTGCCAGCAAATTTGTTGCCCGTTGAAATCTAAAATTTGAAATTATGATATGATCACGATTCCAGCAAAGTTGATTGCACAATAATTTTGCGCATTTGAAAATATTTTTAGAAATTTTTGTCAAGCATCGACGGTGGAAAATAAATTTGCTGCACGTGACGCATTAAATGGCCACAGCAATGGATTTCCGAAAGCTGGCAGCACGGGTTTCTGACCGGGCCAATTGCACAATATATATTTGTTGATTCGCTTGTGGCGCAAATTGCGTGCCACAAATAGACGCACATAAATCATGCGTGCGACAAAAATCGCTTGGCAACTTTTTACGCACAATTGGCTAAATTCTAAAGCTGCCAACCCGACACAGGTAAGCTCTCACACGTCCATTGAAAGTTTTCATATAGCATTTTGGGGATTGGGGATTGCAGCGCCAACATTTCAAAAACGATTGCTTGGTAGCCATTTCATTTCTATTAAAAAAGTGGATTTACATAAACAAATCCAGATAAGGAAAAAGGCAATTGGAATAACAAATATAATAAAAATTATGTCAGTTATGAGATTTGATTTAAACTAAAGATTTTCTTGAGCTATACGAAAAAAATCAAGAAAATAAATTTGATTTATCGCATAACTTAAAGAAATTACAAATAGGATTTGCACCGGCGACCTGCTATGCTCACACCCTTTCTTTTTTCAGAAGAAATTCTTTCAACATTTTTTATAGATGTGTTCAAGTCTTAATTAACATTAATAAATCAGAGCCAAGCGTCAGCTAAGCGAACATTTTTAATGAATTTTCAATTTTTTTTGCAACGCATTCACAATATATATATATATATATAAAAAGCAGATGCAACGAGCAGAGCATTTGTTTTTTATGTGTGAGATACTTGAAAGTTCATCAAAATGTTTTTAATACGGCTTAGGGGGCTGTGTGTGTCCCACTTTGGATGCGCGGCAAGCGCTAATTAGTCAAGGATTTGGCTGCGAAATGCTCAACCCTCAATAAATAAAATGTAAAGCACGTGCCAGCCAGGCGGTATTTAAAATATTCAAAACATCATTTCTTTTTTGCCAGCGCATAATATTAATGCTGTTTGTAAAAATTTTGAAATTATGCGCACGTACAGCAAAAAGTTACACAAATTCTTGTTTATTACGGTGAGTTTTATCGGCTTGAAGATTTAAAGTTGGTCAGTGGATCCCTTTGAGGTAGAGATACATAGAGATACATATGCATATATATATATTTAGCTTCTGTGCGTGTCTGTGTGGCTTGAAGCTTATCAACAAAATTATATATTGAATTAACTATGCTTTTGGGCCCAGCATTGGCAATGCGTATTCATTTGCACATTTAATTACACTTGAGACTTGCACAAAATCAAACCACATTCAAATTGCAATATTCAATCAGCCAGGTTCTCCCTCAGAGAGAGAATGCATACGCATGTGTGTGTGTGTGTGTGTATTTGTCCAAAAACAGAGCCCACAATCGCCTGTGCAATTAGGTCCATTTTGTTAGAGTTTGAGGCAAGGAATTTTGATTAATGAATTCTAACATATGCATGAGTTGTCCCAGGAAAGTTTGGTTATAAATTCACAGATAAAATATCGTATTACAATTGTGCTAATATGTTATTATTATGGCAATAAAAAAATGGACTTTAAATATACCCAAAACATGCAGTGCAATGATGCTGCTTTTAATAACGGCAACAACAACAAAAATACTGGACATTCAATTAATTAGCATCTATTCACAAGACCCGGGACACAGGACACGACACGAGCCAAACGTGCATGACAAACTTCCGCTTTACGGTTCGGTTAAATGAACGCAGTTTGCGGCCAATGGGCGTGGCTTGGCAGAGCAGCTTTAGGGGGCGGGAAGGGCATTGGTGGCGGTTTGGTGCATTTGTGGCATGTGTGTGCAGTTTTGTTTTCGGACCATTTCACGGGCACATACACAAGCCGGAGTAGTGTACACTGAAGCCGGACAGCCAGTGGAACACAAATTTTGTACGAAACAAAAATACGTGCAAAGTTTACAAAAAACAATTTGGCTGTGGCTATGCCGCTTCCGTTTCAGCTCCTGCTGAGGTTGTTTAATTATTTGCCATTTAGCTGAGAGAAAAAGTTTTGCTAAGCTTTGGATTTAGCAGCAGAATTATTCTAGCTTATGCGAATTAACTAAATTGTAAAACCAATCAAGGTCTATGTGTTAATTTAATATATGTATAAAACTGTTCAATACAAAAATAGATAAGCATATACTTAACTACGTTTAATGCCACAAACTATTTATATGCTGATTGCAAATATCTTCGTTCATCAGCTAACTTTCAAATTGACGCGCCCTTTGTACAGTGCTGCCACTTAGTCACAAAAAAAGTGTGGCCTTGCACAAGGCTGCCAGCTGACTGATTGAACATGAAGTTGGCTGCGCTGCCGAAAACAGCTGTTCAACCAAATGTTTAGCCAGTTTAAACAAAACGTGTATACAGTAGTCTAGATTTTGTACCCGATTAATTAAAACATAGAACATGACTGAAATAGAAGGCTATAGAGGTGAGTACTTATTGCAATTTCGTGAATGTTTATTAATTAAATACCACACACAGTTGTGCCGCTGCGAATGTCGCCGGATGCGAAACATTGTCACAGCGTTTACATGCGCGAGCATTTCATACGCCTAATGGATCCCAACAAGCCAAAAGGCCGCACGCTATTTCTGCTCAACGTGCCGCCGTATATAACAGAAGAAAGCCTGCAGACATTCTTTAAGCGCGTCGGCAACGTGGAGAGCGTTTTGTTTGCCGAGAAACCTGGACGCGATGAGACAGCCAAGTGGTACGAAGGAACGGATGTGCCCTTCTCGAATGTACAGACGCCCTTCAAGTTCAAGGTGGCCTATGTGGTCTTCCAGAAGAGCATCAGCATTGGCCGGGCGCTGGCCTTAGAGAGCCTCGACTTGTACAACAGCAGCGGCGAGTGCCTGATTAAAACGGGCATGGAACTGTGGCACGACGACTACGAGAACAATTACATACTGGATGTGGAGAAGACCCAAAAGGAAATCAATGACTATATGGCTGCCTATGATAAGCGGGAGCGTGCCGCACTGGCGGCAGCCAAAACAAGCGAAGCGGATCCCGATGGTTGGGTCACGGTGGGCAAAGATGGTCGCAATGCGGGCTTTGAGCAGAAGGAATCTGTTATTGGGCGCATCGAAAGTAAATTGGAAAAGGATAAGAAAACCAAGGAGCTCAAAAACTTTTACACATTTCAAATACGTGAAAGCAAAATGCAAAATATTGTTGAGCTGCGTCAGAAATACGAGGAGGATAAGCAAAAAATCGAATTACTTAAGAAATCGAGACGCTTCCGACCATTTTAGCATAGTTTAAGGCAGTAATAATAATAAAAATATATATAATATAAAATTATAATTTTTAAAGCTAAAAACATGTAGAAGCATTTGAAAGAAAGGCTATTTGTAAAGAATTTTTTTAAAGCTGCATTTTCAGTCATATTCAATCGATTAAAGTTAACTAAACTTGGATTAATTTCAGAAATGTTTAATTAAGCATTTGGGGAAATTCTGTTTTTAGAACTGAACCTCGTTCTATATTTTTCCATTCCTAGATTTGAAAACAGTTTAAGTTGATTAATATATATATGTCTTATGTAAATGCAAGCTAAGGCGGGTTTTTGTATAATTTCACACTTTAGTGTGGAAAATAGATGGAAATCAATATAAAAGTGTTTCATTTTTATTCGAGTTTCATTTTATGCATGCTCCCAATTTAGCAAAGCTGCACAGATTCCATTCTCAACAATTGTTTCTAAGCTTATTAATTTGAACTGAGAAATTGAAATTATAATAAACACTGGATTTAACAAAATGTGTGCAAGCAAAGGTGAAAAGTTGAAATAAATGTTGCATGTTTGTGTTCGGCGAATTTGTGCGCAGAGTCGAATATGAGTTGCATGACACGACCGCTGGCCAAAATCCTCATAAATTTATGGCATTGACACTTTGCCACGACTAAATCCTGGCCTGGCCTGCCATAATTTCATGGCAATGCCATAACTTATATAAGCCAGCCGCAGTTGTGCGCGGACCCGGAGGTGGCCATAAAAGCGCATAAAAAGCAAACAAAAAGCCCGAAGAAAAGCAACAACAACAAGAAGAAGGCGAAGAAGCAGCAGCATAGCGCGCTTATTGTGTGATAATCGCATATGGTTTATGTTAATTTGAGAAATGATAAAAATATTTCGCTTATCAATTTTAATCATCATAATCGTCGCGTTGCCATCGTCGCGACACACACACACACACAGAGACAGACGCAGCCCGAGGCCAGGCCGCGCTGGCACAGCACGCGATCCGTATCCATTGCTGCTGCGGCTGCGGCTGCTGTATCCATGTGTAGCCATGAGAACTGCATCAGACTTTTAGGCTTAATGTGGCGCGCGTAAATTTTCGAAGCCGCACAAATCGAGCGTACGGGGTAATCTGAGAGTCTGGCTCCGAGTGAAATACAAACGAGGTACGCGTTGGATAACGCATATGCGTGAACATCGTCAAGATTATTGTTGTTGTTGTTCTTGTTGCTACTATACCCTGTATCCATTGAAAATGGGGTATAATGATCCATAATATCGATCGGTCTAGAGACTTAAAAATGCAGCTATATATATTTGCATGTCCTAAGTAGAACCTACTTATCATTCCTTTATATCAATATCTCCTCCTACTTTCATAAAATCGATAAAAATCGATTTTGAGACAAGCTCAAACATTATAGGAGCTAGATACAATAAACTTGGCATGTAGATTCGCGTATAGTATAAATAGATTCAGAATATTTGGATACCTCTCTGAATTTGCTATTAAATTGAAAGCCATATTTAAGCGATTCAAAATTTGATAAAAATCGGACTCTGAATTAACTATTAAGAATACATTTCTTATATTTAGTGTGCGACTAGGGGAAGAAGAAGCACAGGCGCTGTGCATATGTTTGTAGTAAATGGCAGGGTATCCCCTAGTCGTGCCGACCATCGACTAGAGCACTCTTGCTTGTTGTGGCTTGTTGTTGCTGTTGTTGCATGCTTGTCATTGGCTGTGGGCCTGGCCTACTGTGGAGCCTCAAGACAGCAACACATTCATAATTTCTTCCGATTTGTATCGTTTTTAAACATTTTAAATTGATTAAAACGCGATAAATCATAATCGCCCAGCGTCTGGTGGGCTGATCGGCTGGGGTTATGAGGCTCGTCTGCGACTGGAGCGTCTGCGACTGCGAATGCGACTGGAGCGTCTCTGGCCGGGTGATGGAACGATTTATGAGCCTTGAACATAATAAAGTGTTAACGGAACGAGTTATTAAGGTAATCTGAATGCGCATAAGTTAATAAAAGCTCGTTGCACTTTCGTTATATGGCAGCAGCGACGATTTGCATTGGAGCCGCCAGGTCGCTGGCGACTTGCGTCTAAGGTTGCATAGGCTCCGTTGCGGGACGCACACACACACACACACACCAAAGATGTCGAAAAATATAACATAAAACGACCACACGTATGTCTCCCATGCCGCGCAGCAGGACGCCCAGGCCGGCATCAGCTCCAGAGGGCGACGGGCGGGACAACAAAACACAAACGCCGTGTCTTGTGAGCAGAACAATCAATAAATTTGAACACGTGAGCGGGACGCAAATGCGGACAGCAACAACAACAGCAACAACAACAACAACAACGAGCACAGCGCGATAAGTGATCGCCGTGTCGACTGATTGCCCACAAACAACAACAACAACAACAACAAAATTCACTTCGTTTTTTTTTGCAGTTCGAGCCATTTTGGGAACTGAAGCACTTGGTAACATGGAACAGGAAGTTATTAGTTGTTATGAATAGTTTAGTCTCTAATTTAATGGATAGCGAAATTGATTGTTGTGCTATTAAACAAAGTTAATGATTTATTCAGAGTCGAGCGGCACACGCGCGCCTTAATGTAAAACTAGTCAGCAGTGCTTGACTAGAAGATACACTGTACCCTTTATGTGGGAAGCTATAGTAAAGTGATCGAATATAAGTGGACTTTCCCTCTGCCTGTTAGATTCATGTGTACTAGCTTATCATATAATATAATAATAATAATAATAATAATAATAATAATAATAATAATAATAATAATAATAATAATAATAATAATAATAATAATAATAATAATAATAATAATAAGAATAAGAATAAGAATAAGAATAAGAATAAGAATAAGAATAAGAATAAGAATAAGAATAAGAATAAGAATAAGAATAAGAATAAGAATAAGAATAAGAATAAGAATAAGAATAAGAATAAGAATAAGAATAAGAATAAGAATAAGAATAAGAATAAGAATAAGAATAAGAATAAGAATAAGAATAAGATAATAAGAAAAGAATAAGAATAAGAACGCCTCCGCCTAGCCTCCGCATCCCCTCCGCCTCCGCCTCCGCACCGCCGCCCCGCCTCCGCCTCAAGCCTCGCCTCGCCTCCGCCTCCGCCTCCGCCTCCGCCTCCGCCTCCGCCTCGCCTCCGCCTCCGCCTCCGCCCGCCTCCGCCGCCTCCGCCTCCGCCTCCCCCTCCGCTCCGCCTCCGCCTCCGCCTCCGCCTCCGCCTCCGCCTCCGCCTCCGCCTCGCCTCCGCCTCCGCCTCCGCCTCCGCCTCCGCCTCCGCCTCCGCCTCCGCCTCCGCCTCCGCCTCCGCCTCCCCCGCCTCCGCCTCCGCCTCCGCCTCCGCCTCCGCCTCCGCCTCCGCCTCCGCCTCCGCCTCCGCCTCCGCCTCCGCCGCCTCCGCCTCCGCCTCCGCCTCCGCCTCAGCCTCCCGCCTCCGCCTCCGCCTCCGCCTCCGCCTCCGCCTCCGCCTCCGCCTCCGCCTCAGCCTCCGCCCCGCCTCCGCCTCCGCCTCCGCCTCCGCCTCCGCCTCCGCCTCCGCCTCCGCCTCCGCTCCGCCTCCGCCTCCGCCTCCGCCTCCGCCTCCGCCTCCGCCTCCGCCTCCGCCTCCGCCCCCCGCCTCCGCCTCCGCCTCCGCCTCCGCCTCCGCCTCCGCCTCCCTCCGCCTCCGCCTCCGCCTCCGCCTCCGCCTCCGCCTCCGCCTCCGCCTCCGCCTCCGCCTCCGCCTCCGCCCGCCTCCGCCTCCGCCTCCGCCTCCGCCTCCGCCTCCGCCTCCGCCTCCGCCTCCCCCCCGCCTCCGCGTTCCCCCCTTTCCTCCTCTTTCTTCTCGGCCCTCGCCGCTCTCGCCCGCCCCCGTCTTCTCCGGTTTCTCGTGCGCCCCCCGTCGCCTCTGCTTGGTCGAAGACAGGATCGGCTGACAGTTGACTTAGTAAGTTATTTAGTGGTGGGTTTTGGGAATTTGCCACTTGGCAGCTCAATAACAATTCCCGAAATTATACCAAGCCGTTGTATCGCCATCATCCATGGTAAGAGGCGATCTGCGTGCTGCTGTGGGGCCGTATAAATTATAACGCCTCGAGCTGGCCAACACCTCACGATATCGACGCACCGGTTTGCGCGCCATGTGGAGCTCCATTAGCTCCCAGTCGTTGATGTCCTGGAAGACAGAGCGTAACATGTGCATGCGTCCCAGTAGCTCCGTTTCACGAAGACCCTCGTATTTGCGACCGGTGCGGAATCGAAAGGATTTGTAGACCTCGCTCTGATGTTTCGTTTGCGTCGCCGTTTGCAGTTCCTTGCGATAGAGCGCTCGAATCCCTCGACCCAAATGGCGAATATGCTCAAAATCGCGTATATTCAGCGCCACCAAAGCGATGGCATCCAGATTGAGCAGCTTATGTCCATCGATATAGTTCTGCCTGAAGGTTTCCTGTGAAAACATTCGAACTGAACGATCTGCAGACGCCACATCAGTAGCCAACCGACCTCGTACTCCGGATAGCCGAATTCACGCAGCCACTCGGCGACATCGTTTATGCTCCACTTGAAGACTTCAGTGCGCGCCTGGGCGTCCACAGCAGCGGCGCACAGATTGAACAGCGAGTCTGGCGTGGCTCGAAAGGAGAGCGGCACATCATGCTTGTCGTACTCGACGTCGGGATACATATAGCTCGGATAACGAAATGTGAAATCCTGTTCCTCATCGCCGTCAGCTGGTTCGCTGATGCTGAGACTTTCCATATTAAAATTGCGACGCAATTGCCGTGTCGATATCGACGACGAGGACGATGACGACGCAGATGTTGACGACGACGTCTCCATTCGAACGGTTGACACGTACTGTGTCCTAGCTAACCCAAATTTAGTTGCCACAAGTCAATTTGATTGCGGTTTTATTCTACCCAGAATATCCTGTTCGTGTTTGTTTACATTGCTTGGTTGCGTTTTTACTCTACTTTGTTGAAAGGGGCGTTGCGACTTCCTTGTGAGGTTTCAGAGCCATTATTTATTATTATTTATTTATTTATTATTTTGTAAATATTTAGTTACAGAGTTTTAGAAAAACTGGCTGATTCCTCCAGTCAAAGACGAGGTTTATGTGAAACAATATTTTAATTAATTAATAGCCGATTTTTGAAAGCATCCTTCTTTATATTCTGTTAAAAATGTGTCGCAGGATCAGAATTTTTTAATGGTTCCTTAAACATTATTCTAGAAGAATAAAACTGCCTGCTCGAATTCTGGTAGATATATGGAAATGAATATGTGAATATCTTCTGAATAATATTGTTATTTCCAGAAAAAGTAGGATGGCGGTTCAAATCCAGGCTATTATCTAGCGTCTATAGCATTTTCTAAAAATGTTTGGTAAATTGCTTATAACTTAAGGAATAGTAATATTTTTAATAGTTTTTTTACAAAAGAAATTTCAAGCTGAATAGAGGTCAATGTTGGTCATAATAACAAGGTAAAAACAACGCCCAGAGTGCACAGGTTAGTGAACTCATGTTTTCTGAATAGCTTTTATATATTCACCTCTATTTATATTTTTATTATATTTTTAGAAAATATATCCCGAAAAATGTTAGGGTATTCAAGATTTGCCAGCTTGCTTAATGTGTCCTTTTTTTTCTATACGTTTTCCTTGATTGCATTTGCATATTCGTTGTTTTTTTTTTTTCTTTTTCGGGGTCAATCGAGTGCTTGTGGGCGCGGAGGGGGTCGGTGGTGTTTGGCGCCGCAGCACCGTCACGCCAGGATTTCGATAATCAAAACGCTTCCATTTTGCTAAAGCGATTTAAGGAGAATACATATTTTGGGGCAGGTCACAAAGTTTGCTTGCGATTATTTAATGGGTCACAGAAATTTTTTAAAGGAACATGCAACAAATTGCTTGTGTATTGGTTACTCGAATGCGGCTAGATTTATGACTTTACACGGCGCTCGGCACCGTTACCCACTTTATTAACAGGCCAAGAGGCAGACAACATGGAATTATGTTCTGGCCGCACAACATTCGCCCAGAGATCACTCAATTGCCAGACAATTTACCCAACACATGTTCGTGCCCATGAGCTGGAGAGAGATAAAACATTGTCGGCGATAGCGTCTATAGCTCCGCCCACTTGAATGGAACGTTCGCATTGGCCAGCAGCTGCCATGCTGCCGCTCCATAAGGTGTAGGCGCTAGGGAGCTGTGTTCGTGTGTGTGTGCTGACTCGTTTCGTGGTGTGCGTGCGGAGTAAGGCAACATATGGAGAAATCGGTAAACAAATCTCAATAGCGATCAGCGAACGATCTCTGGCTGAGCTAATGACACAGCGTTCTGTTTGTATGTAAACAACCAAACCGTGTAGAGCAAGTTTCCCATGTGGACAACAGTGGAACAAATTTGTATAAAATGTGCGAAGCTAACGGAAAGCACGTAGCTAAAGATAAGACAGAGTATTGGCCAAGAGCTAAGGCCAAAAAAATATAAAAAAATATTAATAAATATATAAATTAAATATACGAAACTGAGCCAAGTTTTCTGATGTGCTTCATGATAGAAAATGCATGAATTGAATTGTTTATGTTATCCTATTGTCAACTTCTAAACTTGTGCTCAACTGCGGTAACGAAACTTGAAATCAGTTAATTGGACTAATTAATTAATTAAAAACAAAAATATAAACATTTTAAATTGTTAATTGTAACATATTGTTACATTCGGTGCTGCCATATGTTTAATATATATAAAGCTGGAAAAACTGTTATTTTATCCTCTTGGTAAATAGGCTGTTAACCTGTTAAATCAGCATGAGCTAATGTAAATGGACTGTTAATATCAACAGCGACATTAGAAATTGCAAAATGGATTAGCAAAAGTTCAATAATAACCTTTTGAAAATCACTTGGGTTCATAAATCAACTCTTTTTAAATAATTAATTTTAAATATAAATTATAATTTTATACTTATGCAAACCACACAATTTGTAAATAATAATTTGTATTCTTCATTCGCTTTTAAACATTCTGCACCTGTTTTGTCATAATGCGACCCACTGTAACGATCCACACACAATCACTGAGATTTACTTGAACACAATATTTATTCGTATGCGCCCAAAGGCAATCGATGATCGGTGCTGGGATTTGCTCCCGGGCCGGTCCATTCAGTTCCGTGTGGGTTGTCTTAGCAAACGGTTGGAATTGAATGCGTCTGCCCCTGTGCCCTAAAAACGATTTGTGCGATCAGTGTCTTTTGAAGCGACGGTGTTTTTCATGTGACATGATCGTTAATTTATGTTGATCCCGATCGCCAGTGTGACCAGCTGCATTAACTGCCAAACAATCGAGCAATGTTACTATACGAAAGTGCCAACATGGAACAAAGTGTGCCCGAGAATCTCAGTACGCATGTGTTTAACGACAACTGTGAAATGAAGTTGCAAGCGCCATGCCACGATCCCGATCAAGCGGATAGTGAGAACGGTTCCAATTCCAACAGTGATTTGCCCACCAAAGAATCAATCGCGAGTTCGAGTCCTGCGACCAGTGTGACCAGCCCGAGCCCGGCGCTCAGCAGCAGCAACAGCACAACCAAAGTGAAACTTAGTTTCAGTGTCGATCGTTTGTTAAGCGCAGAGCGCATCGATCCCTTGCCCAGCCCAAACCCAAACCAAACCCCAAATCCAACGTCCTCAAGGCAATGTTGTGATGGCAGTGTCTATGCCTGCTGTACATTTCCCAGCTGCTTTGCCCAGACCACCGAAGCGGCCAAGCACCCGCCATTGTCTGCTCCACAAGGACTGACCAATACACATCATGGCAGCTATGCCTATGCGGGCATGGAAAAGTTCTATCCGGGCCTATATATGGATTACAAGTCCGTGCTGAGACCCACGCCCATACGTGCTGCTGAGCATGGTAAGAACGACCGTCAATTATATAATATTATTACTTATATTGCAAAGATTTGAAATGACGGAAGACGTCAACAAAAACTTGAAACTCAAGTCTATTATTTTTAAAATAATGTCCTAGTTTCTTTTAAAAACGTGAAACTTAACTCTATTTTCTTTTTAATAATTTCCCAGTGCCTCTCTTATTAGTAATCGCATTTTATTCTATCACATAATATAAATATAGAAATATGGAATAAGCAAATGATCTTTGATTCCAATATTCTTAAAGTTTGCCTCTGCAATATCTATCAAAGTTCAACATCCTCTCGTTGACTTTTTACAAGAACTTTTGCAAAACAATCCTCAAAGACGATCAAAAAGATCGCTTTGAGAACTTTTCCCATTTGCCAATCAAAATCCGACACATTCTTCGCTTTCCATTGATTATAAACTGCAAATGCAATCGCATTGTAAAATAAAAGATAGAAAATGTAAATTCCGGGAAACATCTTGAAACACTTTTTGGTCTCAACCAAATGGCTGGGGTCATAAATCGTGCGTTTTTATTGGAATTATTAGTTGATCTGTGGCCATATTGTGCAATATTATTATTGTAGCCAACTGTTTGTGGCCTGTTCTTGACGAAAACAATTCGTTTGTTGAAATCGACAAATAGATATCTGCTTTACAGTCGACTCGTCGACTCGTATTTACGTTACTTCCTGCTGTTTTGTATATCTGGGGACGACTCATGGACTGCCTGCCAGGCTGTGCACTTTGATCTTGTTTATATGAAAAATAGTGAGAAATATATTTTGTATATTGTTGTGAATTGGATTTGTATTGTTCAACATGTTGTCTTGGCTGCTGACCTTTTTCATTTTCGGCATCGGCCAACTCTTTTGTTTTATATACAATTCTTATCAAGAGGGTGTTAAATAGCTGAGAGCCTCCAATCGATTCAAGCGTTGAAGGCTGCGCCCGGAAGTCTACACAATTCAATGACATTATATTGCCCAAGATTGTGAAGGAAGAGATGCCATAAATAAATTAAAACGCTTCTAAACTATTTTATAAACATCATCAACGAATTCTGAGCTCTTTGGTATGCTACGTTTTTGCATTTTCATTGCAATATGAATTTTTTAATTTATTAACAAAAAGAGTGCTAAAGTCGGGTGTATCCGACCTAACTAGACCCTTGCTAGCACACAAAAATAATCTGCATTTTATGCAGCAACTGCGCTTCTTCTAAACTTAGTCCCACATTTTCTTTGAGAAATTCAGTCTTCAGTCTAACTTCGGTGCTTATAGTCCGATCTGTTTAAGGTTCTCAGAGCTTAAGTATGGCATACAAAAGTGTGTATATCCCAAAACCCAAAGCTCTGCATTTGAAAAGAGTTTATTTGTTTGGGGCAATGAGAGATTTAACGAAAAAGTGAAAAATTGTTTAATAAATCAATAAATCGATATTTATCTATACTAATGGAAAGAAAATATCGAAAAATTTATTATGTTTTAGAAGTCACGACAATCATGTCGAATTAACTCGTTCTTCTGACCAAGAATATGATTTCGAAGATGATTCCGTTCGCGTTTCATATAACTCACCAAAAAAAAAGCTGCTCTTTATACGATTTTATATTTAATACACATTGTATGGAAAATATCATAAATGAATGCCCAAAAATATCAATAAATTAAGTTTTAATAAAAAACTTCCTGGCTATTCCATTACAGACTTCCTTAAACGCTTCGATTTGATACATTCATGTCAGAAACAGAAATGATATCATTCGACAGCAGTTTTAACAAAATTAGCGCCTTAATTTCCTTTGAAAATGGCAAACAAATTAGCGCCACATCAAAATTAATTTGCCAGCCCATCAATTCAATGTGAACATTTATGGAAATTATTATCAATATTGAATGAT